GTAGTCATGTACGATCATATTACTCGAAGAAAGACTTGATTTAATGATTGAAAAAAATATAAAAATTCAACTCTTTCAGACTTCCGAAATTCAATGTTTTAATGTATGTTGAAGTGAATCTAGAAGTTATCGTTGAATGTTCTCTGAACTGATGAATATCGTATGTTTCTTCAAGTGTTTTGTAGACAGGATTTTTCAAGTGTTCCAACTCACATGATCTCGAATGTCTATCGTAAATGTGTCTTTTAAAATCTAAAGTGTTTGGCCTTTTCAATTTCCGAGCTAAACTTGATACCAAAGAATCTTTGTTTTGAAGAAATGTAAGTACAGAATTCTGATTTTTTTWAAAATTTAAAGTGAGTAGTTGTAGTCTAGTAAAGTTATAAAGCTTGAAGTTGTAAATAGATTGACTAAAGCATAATACATTTTTCTTAAATTCATTTTTTTGTTTTGTTTTTTATTTTAAAAAATCACCATTTTCAGTGTTTTCACCGCTGGGTCAATCCAGAAGTGTCGTAAAGAAAGGAATATGGAAAAAAAAAGAGATAAAAAATAATGGATTAAAAAGAAAGAGAGAGATAAAGAGAATGAAGAAACGTGTAGGACAATAAAGGAAAGGAAGAAAGTGAAAAAACCCCGAAAGGAATGAATAAGAGGAGAAAAGAAAGAGACAGAAAATCAGAAAATCAATAATTATTTAATTGCATAATTAGTGAATTGTCACTACCCGGATCTATACAAGTATTTTCCCCCCTCAAATTGAGGAGTCGTACCGGTAAGATTGAAGATTAGTAGATGAAAACCTATGTTGTGCATTGATGGTATAGTTTGACTAAAATGCAATCTCAAAAAACCCCGATGTTATCTATCTTTCTACTACTGTCGCCAGTCTGTTAGCACCACTTACAACGAGAGCGATGAAATCCTTGTAATTCCCAGTCTGACATGCAGCCCTTACAGATTTAAATTACGAAGTTCACATGACAGCGAAAATTCCGGATCATATGCCGGCTTGTCTTTCAGGCATCAAATTCTCTGTTGAATTATCGTTCTACCCAAGGAAGTTGAGGCAGGAAGCTTAGACAAGAAAGCAAACACAATCGAGAATTTCATGTCTATTTTTTTTCGTTTTATTTTTCAAAAGGCACAAAACGTTGAAACAGATATTCTTAAACAGGTTTGGTCAGCACTAAGCGTCAGCGATAATATTCCATTCAACATTTTATAAATAGGAAATAAATAGAAATAGAAAAACAATATAAACAAGAGAAGTTGGCTGTAATTACAGAATTAATGAATGTCGTTAATGGCATCATTTGGGTATTAAGTCGCCTGCTTTAATGCTAGGGAGTTCAGCGGATATCGACTGTTCAACATAACACCTGTTTGGTTTGATAGCCCTGCTGTGCTCAGAGTACGTCAAAAAGGACACCCTTTGGTTTTGAGTAAGGTTGGAAGCGCTCCTAAAATCTGAATTCATTTAGACCGCGAGCAGGAGATGGACACAAAGACGTTTTAGGCGATACGACTTGAACTCTCCCTTATTGAAACCTCCTCAACTTCGATTTCCTGAGGTAAAACTATTCTATTTCTTATCAATAATTTTATAATTTTTGACTCTTTGTCTTTGGTGTAAATAGTTCTTTTCAACCGTTCAAAGTTTTGATTTTTTTGGCGGAAATCATTTCAGTTTAGTGACCGGTCGCCCTTTTCGTGTTTTTCTCCCAATGTAGATATCGGACATTTATCTTTGGCTCGAGTTTTGTACAATCTTTAATTTCAAATGCCCTTTCATTAGAACGCTCAACTTTTCATTCAGTGAAATGCCAAACGCTTTATTTACGTACTGATAAATGCTTGAAAGAGACGGAGATCGATACCATTCATTACGCACCTTCAATAGGACCTTAATAATGCCCAATCACACTTAATTATTCTAGAACATTTTTCATAAATATTAAATACATTAATAAATATCCAATACAAATTCATTTTTCACTGAATAAAACAGATTACGCCGAAATAAAATGTATATTTTTTAGATTAAACAACTCTAAAATGGCAAAACTCGAAGTACGAATCGAGAGTTGTATTTACATTTCATTTATATCTTAGTGCCCTTGATTGTTGATATTACTGAGTATGAATTGAAGAAAACTAGAAATCAATATATCAATTTTCTTTTAGGAAGGCGGAAGAGCCTTAATCTAGTGCAATAAAATCACGAAAAAATATTTAGGGCCGTGGAAGTACTGTTTTTTTGAAAACGCCGAATGAGTGAATTCTTCCGTCTATTTAAGGCTACTACCTAGCTGTCCAAAAACCTTTTGATATCGCCGGCCATATCTTTAGGCGATATGGTTCCATTTAAGAATACCCTTCGATTTTTGAACAATTTTATTTGGAATAAATCATGTCTAGGAGTCTGAGGAAAAAAAAATTTTTCTGTAGTATTTAAATTTATTGTTATTGTTTGCTTTTTTCTTATATTGTGCCCAGTATCAATGTTATTTATGGATTAACTGCTTTTAGTAGCGCTTATTCTAATTCAATATACTGTTCACCTGTCTCTTAAGTTCCTGGTTCTTTTAAATTCTAGCTAAACATCTTTAAACTAGGCACGCTAATAAACCGTAAAAAGAAGATTGAAAAGAAGAAAAGTAGCAGAGAAAACAGCAAAGAAAACAATAATAGTTATTTTTACACATACTTGGATGATTTGCTTTTAAAAACCACCGAAAACTTCCTAGTAAAACAGAGAAAAACGTAAAGAAAATATATGACGAACATTTAAAAAAATTGAAGAAAAAAAGAAGAATATTTCAAATGTAGAATTGAAACAAAATAATTGAAATTGCACACGAGAAGTTCGTTCGGGCCATGTTAGATAAACTTCATAAGGAAAATATTTATCCTTCTTGAATTAAAGATTATTGTACGGAATAGTAGTGAAAATAAAATATCAACATTGTGTTTGTCAGATTATTTTTAGTCAAAATTAATGTAAAATGGTGCCTCATTTACTGTTTTCAGTATAGTTTGTAGATTAAAATCGTCTAGGACACGTGCCGCAATCACCTCCAATGAATATATTCTTAATTGCTTTGTTTATATCAAAACAAATAACTTCATTCGCGAAAGAAATTCGGAATTTTTTGATTCTCGCTGACATATACTAGAAGCTTGCGATTTCCGCTATTCAATTTAGAGTGAATATATATATCAGAACCTTGACGTCTAATTATCGATAAATCGCTTCTACTCCGCCTTTGTTTTCCCATCGATTCTAATTCACTTATGAAATTTGAATAAAAATAGGTGTTCTTGAGTGATTTGGATAGACAGGAAGGTCAAATAATCAAGTAATCGATCTAAGAAATGGTCTTTTAATCTGGAATTTGTTCTCTAAGCTCCCTAAGGTTCGGGGAAGCGTGCTGCTTTGGTAATCTTTAGAATCGATGATAGAATCAAATCGATCACTAGAATAACCTAAAAGCTAGATATCAGGCAAGAAACTGAATATACCACTTCCACTAAAAGACGTTTCTGTGGGTTGTATTATAGAAGCTACGAGGCTAGAAGGAAAGACCTGCCTTTAATAGTGTACAGAAAAGTTAAGAGAAATATTTGTATGATAATTTATACTATATAAAGAACGCATGAAAACCGGGTACACGAGGGTCTCGGGTTCGACGTGTTCGAGTTTATTAGCGCATGCGCAGCTGGTAACTATGGTCCCTCCCTTCGATTCGAGGGTTTTTTCTCCATGCTGCTTCTCCGATTTTCCTCCCTTCGCAAAATTTAAAATAACAAGCTATATTTCAATTATATCTGTGAATACTCCCGTTTCGAGTTCGCCTTTGCTCAGTCTTAGCCTTGATTGTGTACAAATGTGTTCTTTTTTTTATTAGGGACCATTGTATAGTAAGGAATGTAGTTACTAGGGAACAACATGAGTTGATTAAAATGCGACGGGTTTTGGTCGAATAGCTGAATATTATAATTACACACTACCGAGACTAATGCTGAGCAAAGAGAACTCAAAACTAGAGTATTAGTCGTGTCCTGTCTTTGATCAACCAAGAGGTTGTATCGAGGTTCGGTATAAGATTTAAAATTAGAGAAGAAAAAAAAGAATAATTGTTAAGTAAAAGGTTTACAAAATGCACAGCATTTTGATTCGCGTAAACTACCCTCAAAAATCTTAGCATGGAGCGGCGCACGCGTCTGTTTCCCGCCAAAAGTCTTATTAAGAATTATTAAGATTCGATCAGAAGGGGGGGGNGGGGGGGAATGGAATCAAAAAACGAGGTAAAAAAATTACGGAATGCACAGCATTTAGATTCGAGTAAACCACCGTCAAAAATCTGAGCATGGCGCGGCGCACGCGTCTGTTTCCCGCCAAAAGTCTTATTAAGAAATATGAAGATTCGATTAGAAAAAAAAAAGGAATCAAAAAATGAAGAGTTTCATTTACTAGTACTAGAGATTCATTTTTCCTTTTCAAGGCATCAAACAGGTTGTTTTCCTCCTAATTTTACGGTAAGTTTAACTAGATATTTTTTCTTCTGTGATAATTACGAAGCGATCGATGCCCGTAATTTGGATGATGATGACTTGTTGCCAAATAATTCACTAAGAACATTCTGGTAACTTCCATATTTGCACGGTACGCGGCCATAACAAGCAGATTTTTAAAACAAAAAGTTGAAGAGGGATATTTTCTCCATTTCCTTTATCCTTCCTTTTGCGGCTTATTTACCGAAAGAGCTGTCCCGTTATCTGGAAACGTAGAGAACGTTTTGCGCACATGCACGCTACTAGACCGAATAATGCATTTATTAGTCTAGAAATGACACGATATGATGGTTTGTATCCCGCCTTCCTTACAATTTGATCCATATCTACCGATTAAACTCGGAAAAGAATAAAAGATAAAGTGGCGGGTATACGATAATGATTCGCTTTTATGTCAAGATTTTTAAAGCCCCGAGTCTCAGTTTGCTTGACTTAGGCCTCAAGAGGTCGCATCAAATGATCCATGGTTTTATCGCTAAATTGATTAAGACACTCCACGAATAACCTCAAACACGTAAATAGATCAAAATTCAAGCCGACCAGATCGATTGCATCTCGGTAAGGAGGCGTAGGAGGACATGATTCACGAGGCCCATAAAGGAAATTAAGTTAGCTGCTTCACTTGGATGAATGTCAGTGGCACGGTCCACTTTTGAAATTCAAACTTCTTCATTCGAGAGTCGAGAACGAATTTATCTGTAGAATTCTTTTCGTAATTTAAGGTTTCATATTTTGTTTGCTTTAACTTCTGGAGATTATTTCTTCAGTGTAAATCATCTATTTGGTGAGTTCCTCTTATTCTTTCTTTGTCGTTTATTCATTTGTTAATCGTTTTCTTGTCTAATGCATGCCGCTTGCATTGTTTTTGATTTTGCTGTTATTCTTTCTGATATTTGCTATTGTTGTTGCCAATTATCCTTGTTACTCCTTCTCTTGGTTCGTTTTTCCTCTTTTTGTTTATCCATTCATTTGCTTTCTCTCTCCCTTTTATCCTTCAGTTCCTGCCTTTATCTTTTTCCGTTGTTTTAGGGCGATAACGTTACGTTCTTAACATTTTTTCTTATTTATTTCATTTATTTATTTATTTATTTGTTTCTCTTTTTCTCCATTGTATATTGATATCTCTCTCTGTCCCTCTTCCATCTCTTATTTTTACCATATTTTCCACACAATACATGTATTCTATCTCCGTTTTTGCCATGTTTCACTTTTTTATTCCATAAAACCCCCCATCTATTATCTAGAGCTGATCAAAAAAAAATCTAGAGCTGATCAATTAACCAAATCGATTCTAAAATGCTTTCAGCTCTCAAGACTTCCGATCTCACTAGCCTTGAGTGGTCTTCAAAACTTCCTAAGATTTATGGCCATATTGGCTCCTCTCCAGTTGGCTATGTATCTTGCGCTATTCTTGTTTCTGTACCTTCCGACAATAACGGCAGCGACAGAGAAAACATGTAGTCACCGCGACAGCAATCTTGGTAAGTCTGTGATCTGATTCTATTTCATTTTACTGAGTCAAATCCAACTAGCGATCTATCATCAATACTGCCTTCTGATAGACGGAATCCACTGTTTTTCCATTTCAGACCACGTGTCATTCCCTAGAGTATTATTTCTTTGTTTATCGGTTACACATGAAGACACACGAATATGGATAAGACTCAGATAAAGAATCTTATTCCCAAGAGAATGACACGTGGTCTGAAATGGACAAAACAATACGCCCAAGTGGATTTGATCCATAGCATGGGCTACTACCGACCAGGCTATAAGAGTTATATCCTTCTGGTAGCGAAAATGGCTGGCTTATATTCTATCAGATCTAAATGTCATGGAATTACGATATTATTATTAATAATTAGAAAGTAATAATGATTGCAACCTGATGCCCAAGAACCACCTTTGGGTTATTCTACATCAGGGCATAGCTAACTCATAGATAGGATTTGCGGAGGGCAGAAATATCAAGAATACCCAGAGAATAGCGGTAAAGTCAGGGGAGAGACTTAATAAAATGTACTCACATGGTGAGAGGTGAGAAGCGAGGGGCAATCCCGCTACACTACTCTTGTTTTAAAAATAGGAACCAAAAAAAATATTTCAAAATCTACTTTTTTTGTAACAATCTAGTTATAAAGCCCAGAAGACCGCGTGAAAATCTTCAAAGGTGACATTCCCCAGGTCCATTACGAGACATGCAAAACAAGTCTTTCGATGGCTTCCCTAAACACTCATTATCAGCTACGGTAACGAAGCTGACAAGGCCTCCCCACTAAAGCCTTGTCCTAGGAAGGCCAGGAGGGGGGGNGGGGGGGAGGGGGAGGAAGATTATTTGCAGATTATCGCTCTTGTTTCAGAACATTTGACAGTATTGAACCTCTATAAAAACTATGCAACGAGATGCGGGGGCCTAAAACAAATACTAATTGAATAATCTGTATGAACATTCCAGTATTCAATAACATTAATTATCGATGGAAATGACAATCAATCTTCTTGATTAAGACATTATAAAGTGTTTTCCGGAGTTTGACACTCAGCTTGATCGCACACGGAGAAATGTTTTACTTTCTCACTATGAAATTGTTCAATTGCTTTATATTAATTTACTAATGAATGACGCTCATAAACTCTGGAAGAAGCATCTTAAAAATAAGTCGATAATAGTTCAAAATGAATCATATTAATCCAATAAATAACTTGATGATTGTCAAACAGAAAATCTCACTCGCCGAGTAATCGATCTGTCTGACTTAAATGGTACGGCGTTAAAGGGGCACTTGGATGAAAATGGATAAAAATTGGAAATGGCTTAAAATTTAATCAAACGTATCTATATGGCACCAATCGTAGCCAAGCAACATATTTTCTTCACAGTAAAATGTGTCGGATAAAAATTATCAATTTTATGCAGCATATAAATTGTGAGTAAATGACGTCATTTAACCCAAAATTTCTCAACTGCAAGTGGCTCCCAGGCGAAAATGTCAAATTATTCTCAAATACTTCAATTATTCGAACTTTGAAAAATTGGGGCCTTTTTTGATCTAAGTGCCCCTTAAAGCCCATGAGCTTGCTGACCAAAGATCTGGACAGCTTCTAGAAAAAATGCCTGTTATAAAGACAATCGTCCATCAGGTGATTTGGAATATAGGCGCGCATTGCATTGTCTGTCACAATTAAAAATGCCAAGTATTTTTTTCTATCAAAATGAACTCATATTTTCCACCAACGACGACAAAATTTGCTATTTCTAAAAGATATTTGGTGGATCTTACCACGGATGAGTCTTACTTTCTTTATTTTCGAGCGGTATAATTTAATACTAATCGAGAAAAACACCTGGAACTAGGTGTTCGTTGATTGGCTAATAGCGTAGCGAGAGCACCAGACGGCAGAGCACACACGTTTTGGCGCAAAAATTCCCGCCAAATCCACCCAAAGGTAGCCCAAATATTGCAAGAATTTCCTAGTGACTGGCTGGTTAATGTGAAAGAAGTGACGTACTTGAACATCAAATTTTAAAATGCTCGATCATAGCTTTCCAAATCTCAGTATACAGTAATGCCTCTAATATTTGTGGACATTTGGGATCTTGCCTAATGTTTGATAAACGAGGTGTCCGCTGAATACAGGTTTGTTTTACAGTAATTATATAGGAAGAAAATTTCGGGACCTTGTAACTAGCTGAGTGTTCGTTTAATGATGGGTGTTTGCTAGCTCAATAGAGATTCCTCGGATTCGCATCACACGTTAAATGAGTTTGTTAGGTCTCTCACTGCCAAAGGTTTTTTTCGGGACCTGCGTTTTTTCTCTATCCTCAAAACCTAACAAGCTGAATTCCAATGCGATCTATGGGTAAGCCGTGCCTTAATTTTGATCAGCTCAGAGGTTCTTTCAGGGTTCAATCTGTGAGTTAGCCATGCCCTGACGGCTAGATCAGCCCAGAGGTTGTTTCAGTGTTTGATCTGTGAGTCAGCCGTGTCCTGACTGAGATCAGCGCAGAGGTTGTTTCAGGGTTCAATCTGTGAATTAGCCATGACCTGAATTAGATCAGCCCAGAGGTTGTTTCAGGATTCAATCTGTGAGTTAGTCATTCCCTGACTTTGATCAGCTCAGAGGTTGTTTGAGGGTTTGATCTGTGAGTTAGCCTTGCCCTGACTTTGATCAGCTCAGAGGTCGTTTGAGGGTATCGATAAAATTTGAAGGTTTTTTGTTGCTGTTGTTGCTAGCATGTTATGATTCACCAAGTCTTCACACAAAGGAAAAGTATTATCCAGAACATCTCTGTTCATCAAGTCATGAACAGTGCGCAAACCACGAAGACAGACAGTTTCCCGTGGATCCTCGCTTTCAAGGGGTTTATACATTCCCAGTTAAGAAACTGCCAAGAATGAACTGCTTTGAACCAGAGGCCATGAAAATGATTGATAACGGGGTGAGTTGACGTGAAGCAGCTTACAGCTCTTATTTATAGGTTAATATACTGTTCCGTATATTCTACTATTCCGTATAACCTCAGAAATTAAAGCTCATTGTATGATCATTATCATTATCAAAATTAACATCATTTGGAAGAACCAAGAGAATATTCTCTTGGAAGAACTTTGTAAACCAGCATCTCGTTAACGTTCGTTAAATAAAGCTTCAAAGATGGTCTCTTGCTCAAAGCGATTATCATCATTATTTATCATCATCATTATTATTATTATTATTAGCTGTTTTGTACCCCCATCCTGCTCCACAATAAAAACAACGTTGCTCCTGAAATTAGCCCCTGTTCTTTTGAATTCACAGCTTCCAGTGATCCTAGAAAACTGTTCTTTCGCCAGTTCAGCTTACAAGTGGGATTTAGATTACCTGGATGAAAATCTCCGTGATAAAGGCCACATCGCGTACATCTCGAAGCAAAGGCGCTTCCTTTACTTCGACGAGGACAAGATGATTGACCGGTACGAGGATTGGAAACCACCCCATAAGAAGATGATCACTTATTTCCATGAGTTTATGGAGTTGGTGAAGGATTTACAGAAATCGAACAATGGAACACTCTCGTATTTCCAGGTAAATCAAATTAAAAGAAAACGACTGGACTACTATACTCTGGGTAATCTCTACTCGGGCATCTTGTTTTAGTAACCAGGGTAAAGCTAGTTTGGAACAACAAACAAAAAAGCGAACAATAACAACGAAACAACAACAACAGCAGCAGTAACAACAACAACAACAACAGGCCCTCTTGTTTTAGTAACCAGGGTAAAGCTAGTTTGGAGCCTCGCAACAACAAAAAACAAAAAACAAACAAACAAAAACAGCGAAACAACAACAGCAAAAGCAACAACAACAACAACACCAATAACAACATAGAAGTATCGTTGAAAGCGTGGTAGCAGAGTTGTATGACCTCTTCAAATTTTTATCGAACCTTAAAAAAAAACCCCTGGACCGCGTCTAAGTCAGGACACGGCCAGGACAGGGCACCCATTTTCCCCGCTGAACCTCGATTATGACTAATAGAAGTTTGACTATGGATTGTTATAGAGTGCATCCCTTATATCCGTGAAAAAGTTAATCAACAAAATTGTGCAAATTAGTGCAAAGTTTTGTAGGTCTACGGTCTACTGAGGTCTACTGAACTTACTAATATTTGTGCAAATTTGTGCAGCTTCTTACAAACGTTTTCACGGATATATGACATGCACTCTGCTGTTTTCTTATCTTTTAGTCCCCGCTGTACATCATAGAAGGTGTGAGCAAGTCGTTAGTAGAAGATATCAACTCGTTTGACTATCCCTGGTTGTTGGATATCGTGACAAGACTTGGCTGGGGAGATAAAGTGATTAATTTATTACTGATTGGTATGACTGATGTTGTCACTCCTACTCACTATGATGTACTGGAAAACTTCTTTGTACAGGTAAAGAATGCGTGCGCTTTTTTTTTTACAATTCTGCACCAGATTTATTGCCATTGTTTGCCATTCGAGGTTGAGTAAAAGACTGGGTCGAGTTGGCATTGCAACGCATTGTGGGACTATTTAAAATTTATTTTAATTAATTTAAGATTATTTATTTGACAATTCTCCACGTAGTGCAAGCGATACAACAATAGATTCCTTGCAGCACGTCGGATTGCAGGTCAATTTGGAGGACATAACAATAGGTTTCCAATTCTCATGTCATAACAATAGGTTTCCATTCAATTGTCCTCCAAATCGAGTTGTTTTGACGTGCAAGGGGTCTATGGGACACGAAGTCCCCTACAAGGCTTCTACTCACACAAGAGAAATATAACCCCTAAGAATCCCATAATGCACTGCAATGCCAACTCGAGCCCCAGTTTTTTCCTCAATCTGGAAATGACTAATAGATCTTTCGGATTTTTCCTTCAGGTACAACAGAAATTATTAGGAACTTGCGCTCCATCATCATTTGGAATTTAGGCAACTTAGTTCCCTGTTAGATTAAACCGCCTTGTACTTGTGTTCTCAGTTCTGCCCGTAACACGTCGTATTACCCTATTACTAGGGACTTTAAGATTTGCAAAATCGACGACGGCAACGTCAACCGGAAGTGTAAATAATTTTCTCTTTGGGGTTCTGTTCATTGGAGATTTCATTCAAAACATTGTCAGTAAAGTCAACTCATCCACAGGGAAGACAGATTTTAAAGACGCGAAACCCCAAAGTGAAGTAATTTAAACTTACGGTTGACGTCGCCGTCGCAGATTTTGCAAATCTTAAAGTCCCTACTAGGTTTTACTTGACGTCATTTCTTGTCTCATGCAGAATGTTCATCAGTTGAGAGCAAGCTTTTAATTAAGCAATGGTCAATGCTTAGCGTGCGTAAATCTATTGAAGTTGCACGCGGATAGTTGGGAGAACACGATGGTAGCGTAAGAGTTGCATGAGCCGGAGCAAGCTTTCAATATAATGTTTTCTTACTGACAGCACATGGTGGTGGTCAGTGTTTAACCACCATTTTAAACAGATAATGAGGTGGAAAGACTTTGTGCTTGGTACTTGTATTATTATATACTTTAGCTTATCCTATCTTTTATGATTCTAAGATTGCAGGTCTTAAACGCGTCATCCTTTTTAGTCCAGAATACTTCAGATGTCTGTATCCTTACCCAGTGGGACACCCACATGACAGACAGTCACAGGTACATTGATGTAATTATCCCATGATCATCATTAATTCCATGAATGAACTAAAGGTGCTGACACACGGTGCAACATTGCACGCAACATTGCAAGCAACGAATTGGAATCGGGGTGACACACATTGCAACAAAATCACGCAACATCGCTTGTGTCAGCCTGCTATGTTAAGATATTTGGTCAGCAGTTATAAATTTGGCTGATTGGCTGGAAATGTTCACATGAAGAAATTTGTTGCGCGCAATGTTGTAAGAGGAGAGCGCGATTCAACTTCAGATTTGTTGCATGCGACGTTGCGTGCAACAAGTTTGAGGTAGACACACGATGCAGCATTCCTGTTGCGTGCAATGTTGCATGCAATGTTGCACTGTGTGTCAGCACCTTAAAAGCTGCAAGATCGTAACTTTTTCATAGGTAAATTTTGACGAACCTGATTTTGAAAGATTTCCAAAGTTCAAAGAGATTGAAGGTCTAGAAGCCGTCGTTGGACCTCGAGATGTGCTGTACATCCCAACATACTGGTGGCACTATGTAGAAAGTGAACACAACAGGTAAGCATTCAAAACGAGTTCCACTATAAAATATGAATGACAAATGTCTGTGGTACAGGCTACTCTTGCATGGTATATATGGGATTGACGACATAATTGAACCAATCACAGCGCGAGAGTTTCCTGCTTATCCACGATCAAATAGAGCAAACAAATGACAGCGCGCGGTATGTCTACCAGGATACAGCAACGTCACGTACAATGTCACGTGCACGTCGGCATGTTTGTCACAGTCATTCGACATCTGTTCTATATAGTTAAGTTTGCATGCAAATTAAATCTATGCCTTATTGTTTCAGCATGACTGTGTCGTTAAACTTTTGGTTTGATCCAAAGAACCAAACTTTAGGCAACCAAACATCGACGTCTGCGTTATCTAGTAGTGACAGTGAACAAACAGCCGAAGAGAAAGACACACTGACAGAAAAAGAACTCCCAAAGAAAATAGAGATAACGCCGACCCAGGAACTGGCATTAAAGAGAGAGATTGAAAGTATTATTCATGAGAACACAAGAGACCATGAAAAGGTAAAAACGAAGAATTACTGAAAATATTAACGAAATTAACTAAGCGCTCGTGTTCCTTGGCCGTTTTTGTTGTTGTCATAGCGCTAGCCAATCAGAGGGCGCGAACCGAGGTAACCGGGCAGCGGTTTTAAGTGATTCCACAAAACGCATGGCACAACAGGATCCTGGAAATGTTAAAGAAACTAATTCAAGTATACGATGTTTTTGTTTACCATTTAAGAATATATTTGTCATGTACCCCAATAGTCCCCTTCACAGTTCCCTGTGCCATCTTGAAAGGTAGCCATGCCTTTGCATCGAAGCGAGACTAACGGTGACCTTGCAATGATAGAGACCTTTTTTTAACACCTTAGACAATTATTCACATGTCTCTATCATTGCAAGCTCACCGTTCGTCTCGCTTTGATGCAAAAGCACGGCTACCTTTCAAGATGATGGTGATTTTAAATATTTTCAATTATTTTTGTGCGGTACAACTGAACTAACTTGATTTTGTATTCTTAGGTTCGAAGAATCTTGAAAGAAATCTTATCAGGACGTTTTGATTTCTTGGACGCAAGTTAATTCAAGGAATCAAACACACAGGACTAATGTTAACTCCAATATCTATTGCTCTAAATGGAGCTTTTTGGCTTGTGCTTAAGGTATTCAATTTTAGACCAAATGTCATTCCCTTGAGTATTATTGCTATAATTGCCAGTAGCCCTTGAGAAAATTCATTGATAAATAAAGACCACTAGCATATTGCAAGAGCAGCTCTATTTGGAGAAAAACAAGATATTTTTTTGCTGTTGAGAATCGTGGGCTCGAACTGAAAGATCACGTGACACTATTTTCCATTCAGCACATCTCCCCGTACGAAACTCAATAAATATTCAATTTAACCATGACCTGAAACTTAGCTTCACCTTTCTATTAATATCGAGGTGATTTCATTTTCTGGGGTTCTTGTAAACTAAAGAGCTTGGTTTAAGGTGGTAGGGTCACGTAATCTCTTAGCGCAAGTCTCAAATTGAAATTTATTGTATGGTCTTCCATATTAAGCTGCTTTGGAATTTGCTGGAAGGAGTCTATAGATCCGGACTAAAATAGATGATCATAAAAAATTTATATTTCTATTGAAGAGAATGACTCTTGGTCGAATGTAAAAGCATTGAGCCCAAGCCTAAAGGGTCTAAAATGAGGTCATGCAAAATAAGTAAAACTTAATTTCAACAAAGTAGTAACAAAATAACACAAACGTACGATTCCCTGGTGGCAGAAGTAATGAAAAGTACATAACAATGGATAGAATATATAATATAGTTTCCCAAATTTATTTTCGTAGAAACTTTAAGTCTTGTTTTTCACGCGCGCAATATGATGACGCACGGGAGTAGGGTAAGGCGAAATTTAAACTGCATCCGGTTACTAAAAATAGCCCACCCGGGAATACATGGCGCGCGCGGTATTAAGAAGTTTCCCTCTCTTATTTCTGCTCTCTCGCTAGAAAGCTAACTAAGCAAATCAAGTAAATAATTTGTTTAAAAGTCAGTACATTCGTACGGAAATCCGAGAACGATGTCTGAACTTCTTGGTCGTATATGGATGGCTTGCGGGAAATCATTACTCCCAAGTTAACTTAACTTGAACTTAGCAAAAGAAGCAAGAAATGAGAGTTATATAAAGTGGTTCGTAGAATATTGCTGCTGAGTGTGCATTGACTATAGTACTTCATCGTGTACCGGCCGGTCTACCATAAGCGCTGCTCACAGAAACACTGTAGTTTAATGCTCATCAAACCAAGCATTCTATACTTTTTCAGTTGTGCTTTAGGAAAACGACAGATTGATAGTTCGGTAAACGACTCTAGACAGCAAAAAATGCAAATTGTCTGTAGCATAAAAATGTAAATAATGTATTCGGATGAATAAATAAATAAGTAAATTCAAATAAAATGGTTCAATGCCTGGTTCTCTATAAATTGAAATTGATTTCCCAGCCCATCTCACACAGCTTATCTCTCATGTTACTACTTTTTCGTGGGATTCTACCAGCACACTAGATGCACCGTGCTGACGAGGCCCAATACAGGCCGAAACAGCTGTCCACGGTTTCTAGTTGAGCTGCCACTCATTTTTTACGCGACTTGAAGTTGTGAAAGGCCCATTGACCCTCTTCTTCAGTCGTTTCATACAATGCTCGTAATTTACCTATTACGCATGTCTTATATAGATTGAACAGGAGTTTATTGCTACAAGAGGTCTCTAAGGTAATACGACTCAGTGTTATAATCTCATGTTTCGTCGCCATTCAAGAACGCGGATAACTCACTGAAAAATGACACTAGTATAATTTTTTTCTCTTTACCATCGGAAAAAAGAACGGAAAATGTTGTCCAATCACCGATTAAACGATACCAGCATAATTATTTTTCATCATATATGCATGGTCGTACATTTTAGGGGCTGAAATTTAACATGGCTTCAACAGCTCTTTCGTAATTTATGCGTACCTTTTAGGGGCAGGGCCGTAACCAGAACTTTTACAGGGAGGTTGCACATCGAATAAAATCAAACCGTTGATCGTTTTTTTTATTATTACCAACTCAGTGGCGTAACTAGGGATCTTGCAGGGAGGTGCACAGGCAATAATTTGCAAAACTAAAACAAAACAAAAAAAAGGAAAAAAGAAAAGAAAAAAAAGGGGGATGGATGAGCGGACCTTAAGCTTTTATGGGGGGTGCACGTGCACCTTATGCTCCCCCCTGGTTACGGCCCTGAGGGGTCATTTTGAAAACCGACAACCGATCACCTTTACTTTTTGGACGAATTTCAAACCTATGAATTAGTTATTTTGAAAGCTTTTTTAGCAGTAATATCATGTTATTGCAGTCATGTTGGATAAGATCAAAATATACATTCTTCTTACTCCTTTTCTCAACGTTTATTAGTTTATTAGCTTTCGCGTAACTGACTAAAGGTATTCCAAGTTTCAAGTCGGTCTTTCGCACTTTAACCAACTGTATTTTATGTCTTGCTGAGAATTAGAATTTTTTCACTCTCTTTTTAAATTCTACTTCTTTCCCATATTTTTCGTTGCGACTCTACAGCACACAGCAGTAGCACGCGCCCTTTTACACACACAGCTACACAAATTCCCCTTAATAGAATACTGTTCAGAGCAGTTGCTACTAGGGGACCAACAAGAACACGACAGAATCAAGTGATCCAGGAAAGGACATCTGACGAAGCTGGAGTACTTGATGTTCGAATGGGATTTATAAAAACCACATTTTAGCTTCTGGAGGGGACCAGGCGTCCCGGGTATGCCACTGTCACCACGAAGACCTGTTAAAGAAATATATTGATGTTAGAAAACTGACGTAAATAAACAAATCTTTTGCATGAAATGGCAATTATTTTGTGAATCGAAGTCTAAGAAAGAATAACACATATTCCGCATTTATGTATATCTATTAGTCAGTATAAATCATGCGCTATTAAGTTCAATTTATAGATATTAATTCGCACGAGTGTGTTTTTCAAAGAGTTAAAGATGCACAACTTTGATAATGTATAAAAAACTCAATCATAGTAGTCAGCAGTAGCAACAGCATTAAAAACAGTAACAATAGAAGCAACAAGTACGACGACATGGACAATATAAAACAGCAGCGACAGAACTAAAAGCCTGTCTACAACGGCAATTTTGCAGCGATTCGAGGTGCGATTTTTGCGGCTATTTGGTCGAACTCAAGTATGGAAAAAGCCGGATTAACATGTGAAGTTTTATTCCGGACACCAAGATTGCCTGGCAAATGTTTCTTTAGAAGCATAAGAAGAAGAAAAAATAATATTTTCACATATCGCCGCAAAAATCGACCTTATAAACGGGCCTAAAGTAATGATAACAGCAAAAGCAACAATTACGACAGACTTGCCCAGAGTCGCCCTCTCTTGTTTGCAGCCGAGCGATTTTTTTTTTTTTTGCGCAACAAAGGGCGTCGGACTTTGCGAAAGTCTATAATGACGACAGAAAGGTTAACACTGAACAGTAGCAGCAGCAGCAGCAGCATGCAATATCATCTCAAAGCCTTGTCCTAGCATAGATACCAATCTCACCTCTAGAACCAGGACGTCCTGTCAATCCCACGTGTCCTCTTGCCCCTTTCAATCCTCGTAGTCCCCGTAGTCCTTGGAGACCTGGTAAACCCCGGGAACCGCGATATCCGGGGGGCCCACGAGGACCTGGTGGCCCCCTTGTACCTGAAATATACAAAAAAAAAGTTTAGTAACAACCTGTAAATGTTGTATCAAAGCAATAGTCATTGGATTAGTACACTTACCGTGCGCTCCAAAGTCTTCAGGCGAAAAGATGAACACCAGAAACACCATCCCCACAAAAATCTTGAAATTCGTCATCTTAATTCTAAAATCACCTTATATCGAGCCAAAGACTATATGTAGAGCTCTTAGTGTCTTTCTTTCACTGGAATTGGCAAAAAAGTGAGGAAAAAATCTATCCACTCTCATTTATAAAATATAAGCCGAGAAAAGTTTGCCTTGACCATTAGGCGGGCCATTAAAAGGCGAAGGACCGACGTGCAGTAATTTACTGGTCAGTAAACAGCCAAGGTAAATGTATTGATCGATTTTGGTTTTTACTCGAACTTTTTCACGTTTAATAACGAAGTTCATTCAGAGCCGATCCGTAATGGAAGAAAATTGTTAGCAAATAAATCTAATGGGTTATCTAAATTGAAAGTGGTTTAGGACTACTGGTAATATCACTGAATGATAAAAGCAATCAAAATGAAAACTCCATATTTTAAAGTCCCTCTTTAATTCAAACAATCTTCCGACTAGATTCGCCCCCTATACGGCCCATGAATTCAAATACATCTGACGAATCCACAGTTGTATCTGTATACTTATGCAATAGTTAACTCATGATTGTAAGCTGCCAGTAAAGCGCAGCTCGTAAAGTCATCCACTAATGAGGATTTTTGTGTCCGGAGTGAATTAGGCGATAATGCGCTGCGAGCAGAAAAATAAAAAAACTTCATGCCTCTAATGATGAGATATTTCATATCCTGCAAGTGATTGTGCATGATGGTAAGCTGCCAGTAAAGCGCAGCTCGTAAAGTCATCCACTAATGAGGATTTTTGTGTCCGGAGTGAATTAGGCGATAATGGGCTGCGAGCAGAAAAATGAAAAAAACCTCATGCCTCTAATGATGAAATATTTCAGATCCCGCAAGTGATTGTGCACTATGCTATGATCGAAGGTATTGGGCTTGGAGAATAGATACCTTTAGCATCAGGTTTACCGTTTACCTCAAACCGCTAGGAATCAGGCCCAGAAACAGGCTCTCAGTCAGAAAGAGAAAAACTCTTTCTCAATGAAATTCAATATGGCGGATCTTCCAGCAACAACTTGGTAATGACGCCTTGTTAAATGTCGAAAATTTGACGGAAAACGTTGAAATGCTGTTTGAGACTTGCGATACCTAGCACGAACGTCGTGCTAAAGGTCTCTAATGTCTGGTGAGCACTTTCGTTTTTCTAGCTTCACGTCTTCCAAAGTCTAAAATCTCATCGTTTGTCACTTCATTACTCATGTTGATTTTTAGCTAGAAAAGCAAACACGCATGTTACGCAAACTATCAAACAACTGACAGGACCCTATATGAATTCGTACGTTATAAAGCACGCAAAACTAATAAAGTCTGACAGGATGTAGCTTTTAATTCAGTCGATAGGACACTTGAAAGATCCTAATCAAAATAGAGCCGTTCATTTCTAAGGACACCTAAGTGCCTGTCGGCGCATGCGCAACCGTGGACTTGTGCGTTCAACATTTTTTGATTAAGGAATTAAAAAATTATTAAATTGCTAATAAATTCTTTATTCGGAAAATCAAGGCAAAATAATTGGTCGACAATTGATGTTCATTCTGTTTTATTTATTTTACCCCAATAAATTACATATTGATTTAGACTAAATAGTCGAGGATATTTCTTGGTTGCATATCATGAAGGTTTTACTTTTTATTATGCTGTTATTTATTGTCTATTTATTGTGGCTTTGCTGTCCCGTATATCGGCCTTCCAAGAAGCCTGCAGCAAAGGGCTATGGGTCTGGCAAGCGCGCAGGTACATCTACAGGTCCGTCCAGAGATGGAGTAGCTCGTGGTGCAGTTTGATTTGAACGAACGGCACGAACAGGAGACAACTTGGTGGTCAAAGAAGGGGCATCTCACGAAGCTTGATGAGGTGGACGGGCGGGAGGAGCAGGATAGTTTTCCGATGGCTCCGGGTTTGCCTGGGAAACCTCTTAAACCGGGAGCACCTTGGGGGGAAAATATCAACAAAATAAAGAATTAATAAAGCTGTTTCAGTTGGTGTACTGTTTTTTTTTTTTTGTTTTTTTTTTTTTTTTTTTTTGTGCGGTGCGAGTGTGAGAGGCAGACTAGGAAAATCGTAATGGGCTTTGACAAATATAGTGGCCACTGCACTTTGATCATGGTTCTTTTCAAAAAAAAAACTGTGGATGCGTTCCTTCCAAATATTACGTCTGACCCTCCGCAAAACTAAAAATATTTTTACTGCAGACAATTGACGGGATATCTGAACTTCCAACACAGATAGAGGAATGGGGAAGGCTGTGAGGAAGAGTAATGCCAGAGATCCCATGGAATTACCTCTAAGGCCAGGACTTCCAGTGAATCCCCGGTAGCCTCTCGAGCCTGGGTATCCCCGGGCTCCTGTTCGTCCCCGTGGGCCGGGGTATCCCCGTGGTCCTGTATGTCCTCGAGGTCCCGGAGGTCCTGGTGGGCCTCTAATAACTATAAAAGAGAAGACAAGTTAATAACAACAACAACTACAGAAATTAGAATGATGATAATCGTTATGATTGATGATGATTCTAACGAATAGAGAAATTATCGTTACGAACCAAAACTTATGCGATCAAAACGGCATATCAATAACCCCCCTGATAAACACTTGCATTAATTTCTAGAGGAATAGAGGAATTGTTTTGGGGGACAAAACAATAGGCTGTCTTTTCTTATCCTTTCTCTCGGGACTCATGCAGCGCAAGGGGTCTATAGTGCATCACTCGGTCCCACTAACCTGTAACACTGCGTCGTCGTCGTCTTCGTCTCCATCCGTTCGCGTTCTCAGGAGTAAAAACAAAGACCAGCAGCAATACTACCACCAGAATTTTAAAATTCGTCATCTTTACTAAGATGTCTGCCGGCAGTTCTAACTTCGATTGGAATCACTGGCGTCTTAGTTTCCTTTTCGACGACTCACAAGGAAAGTGAGGCCGAAAACCCTTTACTCGCCTTAATATAAGGAATTCTTCGTAAATTATAAAGTCCATTAAAGACTAAAATTTCGAAAGGAGTAAAAATAAATCAGGTTATTGATCGTAGTGTTTTAGACCCGAAATTTTTCGCGTTTTGAGTAAATTATCCCAGAGCGGTTCTGTCATGAGAGTGTAAATAAAGTCGATGGTAAGGATCTTAATTATTTGAAGTGGTTTAGGGTTACTGAACCATTGGATGACCACTAGGGTAGTGGATGACTCAATCACTTAAATCAACAATAATTGAGCCAGACAATTGTTCAGAGTGCAGTGAGAGGATGTGAAGTGAATTATAGTTAGCAGATCGTCCGCCGAAATTATTTCCGTAAATGCTTCTTAACAATTGGAAAATCGTAAAATCGAGTATTCAGCTGATTAACGAATATTTTTTCTTTCTTTCATTCATTCATTCAT